CTCTTATACACATCTTATATAAATTAAAGCTTTAGTCTTAATGTGCCACAATTTATGGAAGATAAGAATCAACAAGATCTTTAAATCGTACAAATTTATCAAGTTATTATAGTGAGAATATAACAAAGGTAACCTAATGGGTGGTTAAGTAATCAAGCAAAAACACGGGAAATCAAATTAACAAACAACTAATTACGCAAAACCGTAAAAGAACCTTCTACTAACTCGGTCCGACGGTGAACCCAATCATTTGCGAGGCAACTAGGTGAGATGTGGCTTTAGTTCGTTCTTGCATAGTAGTACCGGCAGACAAGTACACCCTTGTAATGGCCAGACAACCTGTTTGAAAGGTTAAAGGTTAATTCATAACAACATTGCACAAGTTCTTCATTAAAACGTATACTGCTATTAATTTAAAGAAAGCATGGTCACCGACGAGTTGAACAAGAAAACGTATCATGATTTAAGGCCTGTTTACACCATGACGATAAAAGAGCTAAAAATCAATTGTTCATATAGAAAATAAAATATGAGCATTTTTCAAACAAGCACGATTCGATAACGGTTTATATTTTAGGCCTATATGATAAAAAATATTTTCACAAATATAACCTTCCTCTGAACATTAAACAATCACCTTCTCTTGACAGTTTTAAGTCACTACTCAAGATGCACCTTCTTTAATAATGTCTTTTTGGAACGACACCACGAGCAACGACTGTTGGAATGGCGCCATGCAAATGGAACCATTGATTGATTGATTGATTGAAACTAGGCTACTTAGGCCAGACGCACTGCATAATAAAACGTAGTACCGTAGTCTAATAATAAGCTGCATTTGCAAAGATATGAATTGTTGAAGCTTGAAGAATCGGAAAATTCAAATTTTTGCGAATAAAGCTTGGTTTCCATACTATCGCTACACGCCATCGCCGACAGCTTTCGAAGATGCTGATTGGTCGGCCGAATCTGGAAGCCTTCCCGATGCGTCGGAGACTGCTACATAAAATATTGCACTGAAAACACTGTAGCGACGGTGTAGCGATTGTATGGAAAACAACCTTTAGGGAGGCCAAGTAAAATTGGTGCTAAGAAAGGAGCGTTCACGTCGCTGCCGTGTTCCTAACTATAAACGGAAATTGTATCGTTCTCAACAGCATATGAACTCGTGTATGGACTCAATAAGAGGATGTAATAGGTAAAATTTTTTATTTTGTGTAAATAGAAAGGTCATAAATTATTGACTCTTTTTGTTTCCTTTTATAAGTGTAAATAATCTAACATTTTCTAGAATGTGGAAGAGATCTCCAAATGGCCAGTTAAAAGGTAGGTGTTCCTGGTATATTATATGATGAATGAAATGAAAGCATCCGTATACCATTGTACCAAATTGTGTAATACAACGGTGTTGGAAAATGCATGGCTGAGCTCGATGGGTAGATATGCACAATCCAACCGGTAGTACTAGCTTACTTGCATTTCCTAATGGCCTATCAAGACGATGATTTTGTCATTATGACGAATGAGCCATTGCATTGGATTCGTGAATAGATTCACTCACGTGTGATTAATAGATTTGATCTATGACACAGTTCGAGTTATTATTAGTACACTGCGTATGTATAACTATTACATTATATAGTAAATTTTGCCTACAGCAAATAGTACCGTAATTGTCACAAACACTGTGTGAACGCCGTTTGTTACTGTACCTGCAAACAACCCGGCCAATCCTCTGGATATAAACAACAATGCAATGTTTCCTGTAAAGTTGGGGAATATGTAGAATACATTGGAACAGATAGCAGTGATTGTGGTGAATATAAGCGGTATTTTGCATCCAACTCGGCCGCTGATAATACCACAAGCCACACAGGACAGCAACGCTACAAATCCCTGGGTAGCTGTCATCTGGCCCATTATGGTAGGGTCAACATCGTCATCAATCTTCGATTAATTATAAAAACAAAAGGTAAATATAGACTTATTAAATATATACCTCTACAAACGATAACGATAATAAATAATGTGTGGAGATAGGGGAGTAAAGGTGGGCCCTCACTGCTTCGTACGACCGTCAGCCGACGAATCCAACTCCACTGTCTGTGAGCGCTAGACGACGCGATGTCGTCGTCTGCTGATTGTCGGTGTGAATAATCTAAACGGATCGTCACTAAAAAAGATCCGTTGTGCGCGCGTCGTGGCGTTGCGTTCTTAACACAGCCGCGTCGGCCGACGACAGTCTAGTGCAGAGAGTGCCTGGCTTTAGAGCGTGTTCAGGCATAATTGGAAGGTGAAGAGGTAATATTGGGATATTAATCATCGTTCGTAGAATACCAACTCTAATTACGAAAACACGTGTTCACATCAGTGGTATTTTTCGACATTACCATAAAAACCTTGTGCAAATCAACAAAACAGCAGAAAAATTCGGCAGCTATGTTTGCATGACCTGAAGTTTGTAAATTTTGGTTAAGTTTGAGCGCATCCAGGCAACATGGCAGTATTCAAAATTGGAGCAATTAGCGATTTATACATTTGTACATTGGGTGTCTTTTGATAAAATAGAATTTGTTCTTTCCAGGTAGTAGAGTCTTTGTCTTACCTTTTCCATATTCAGTATACGTATTTCAAGAGAAATTAGTATCATCAATATGATACCAAGGTGTTTGCAATGCTTTACACATTTACACCCTTTGCAATTTAAAGAAATACAATGGCCTATTTTTTTAGTATTTTTTGTGACTGTCATGGTCAACATAAACTAATATTCGGAAAGATTTGTTCCGGGCTTGCAAGTTATTTTGCAAAATTGTATTGATATTGTGTGTGTTTATTTTTTTTAAATTATTTGTTAATGTTATGTTCCCCAGTCTAAGCCTACGCTAACATTTTGAAGTGAGTGCAGTATGCACTGCCATGTAGGCCCCTAGTCGTATGCTATACACGAGGAAAGATTTTCTCAGGGTATTACGTAATACACAATGAATAAGAAAAAAAAATCATAGGATAGTTACTACTCTGATGGAAAAACAACATGGTGACCCAAGACTTTTATAATAATTATCGTTTGGATGCTACCAATTAGATTTGTGGCCGTGCGCCCTTGAAGTTTTCAATTAGGATACGGTACGTTCTCAATGTGTTGCGTAATACGCAATGAATAATAACACATAACATTGTCTTCGTCAAAAAAAGTGTCTCCAAATAAATTCATCCATACAACACATGCCTTATTTAGGCTATGGCAAGGCAATTAATGGATGTTTACTTATCATCAGCTGAAAACATGAGAAAAATGATGATGAGACCATATTATATGGAGGACTGTGTAAGCTGTATAATTATCAGACAATGTGTGTGATGTGCCCATATTTTATTTATTTATATATTTATTTATTTATTTATTTAAGTTTAAAAACATCAAGTTCCAAACCAGCAGCAAAAAATTCCTTATTACAAAAATTCAGTACAAAACTCAGAAAAGACTAAAAAAAATACCTTGCCAAAAAAGCCACAATTTATTCGAAGTTCAAAGTTCAAACTACAAATTCATATACGTTAAAGTAAAACCTCGAATTAAAGGCTTTATTTCGAACTGTAAATTTTGTGAATTTGTACATAAAACAATAAATACGGCCACAGTATCATCAATGTATCATGGAGTGTATTTAACTGACATTAAATCACCTAAACTACTGTATAAACCAAGCTTGTTTTTAATTTATTTAAAGTTTTTAAAATTCATTCAAATTGTGTATATACTCTCAAATGAAGCCTATGCTATCTTGAAAAAAAGCCAATTTTGCAAACTAAAGAGGGGGGGGGCTTCAATTGGAGATGGGCATCATCTCGAGATTAAGCCCACTGAGCTTCAATTCGAGGTTTTACGGTAGGAGCATGATTATGTCATAATTACATCCAAGTTAACGGCGAACGCATCAATACTACTGATCCTAGTTCTTTTGCATAGGCTTTAGGATCTGTATCATTGAATGATATTGATTAAATTAAACATGAGACATTAAATGTTGTATTTGAATCTTTTAAGATTTTTCTAAAGGTACACAATTTAAATCGTAATATTTACGGATTATGATACTCTGAAATTAATTATATAATCCTGTGAAATAATATTTTGTCACAAGTTTCAGCGCGTGATAGACTCCGGTAGTGGACTTTCCTATATATACTTCGCCTGATGTTTACCCTCTTTGCATAATAAACACATACTATAACGGTAGTCTACGTTTACTTACTGCTTTCAAGTAGGACCACAATGAAGTGAGAATAATGGAGTTGGAGAATCCCTCGCAAAACGTGATGAAGTACATGGTACGGATTGACCACCATCTCCCTTGAAGCTGGCTATCAGACCTCGTGCGACTTAAAAAGTAGAATATTATGTAATTCAATAACAACGTAAAATGTAACGACTTTGCAAGAAACGTCTTTTAATATCGAGTTTTAAGGTGTAATAGTAATATGCCATGTCGAATTTTTAAACATGATTGATAATTCTTTTAATTTACCTCCAATGGTGTCTTGCCTTTTCCGTCGTGGTTTCAAGAACTTCCACCGAGCTTTTAAACGGTTCTGCAAGCCTTTCGCCATTGACTTCTATTCGTTTAAAAATTAAAATAATGTTTGAAAAGTTATGTCTTAATAAATGTTGTAAGCAATAAAATGAACAATGACATACATAACCAACTGTACAAACACGTGTAATTGGTAATTCAGACATTTATATGACTTATTGCCTCTCTATACGATATGCTATATTATATCTGCTCTGTTCTATCACTTTGGTAATACTTGCGATACGTTCCATAGTCTATTTCCGTTATATATATAC